TATTTCCCCGTTGATTTTGGTTGTAATATGAAACTTAGTTAAAATGTTATTTTAGAGTACTTTATCTATAGGAAGAGCCTGTTAAAAAAATATTAATCAATAATAAGTAAAATTCTTCATAAGATAAAATATTTACTTGTAATATTAAAAGAATGCATAAAAAAAATATCAAATTGGATATAACAGCCCCGGCCGTAAGGGAGTGGTCTGCTGTGAGTTGGTGATAAAATGGTGACTCGTTGATAGTGACCTTGCATGATTAACTAATTTAATAAATATGCCAAATTTTATATAAAGGTTTGTCTAATTGTCGGGGAAGAAAGTTTGTTATCTGCGTCCGAGAATAAGAAGTTGTTTTTTCTATAAAAAATAATTTTTAGATTTGTGCCTAGCTGCCCGTGAGCCTTGAATTCAATAAGAAATATCTCTATACCGGATAGAGCTTATTTTTCGATATTGAAATGTGCCCCAATATAATGAATAATATTGTGGAAGTGATTCTCCTTCCCAAATTTATTCTCCGGGAGAAACTCACCGAAAGTATATGTAGTGCAGGTTTAGAGCATTTACCCCAAATATTGTCACGAGCTGTATCTCTGAGCCCGAGGAAAGAGTGAACGCAAAACACAACAGTTACTTGATCCTATTATTGGGAAATCAATTTATGTTTTATACTGTTTCTGCGTTCTTCTTGGCGTTTCAAGCCGGTTTTTAAGTGAGTTAAAGGTACGAAAGAGGGGAGTTATGAGGTAGGGGTGGCCCGAAAAAGAATAGGACATGGCCCTATTGTTAAATATAAAAAGAATGCAAAAAAAATATATAAATTATAACAGCCGCCGGTGGTGGTGGTTGGTGATAAATGGTGACTGTTGATAGTGACTATGATGATTAATAAATTAATAAATATGAATTTATAAAGTTTGTCAATGTCGGGGAAAAAGTTTTTTCTCTCGAGAATAAGAAGTTGTTTTTCTTAAAAAATAATTTAATTTTCCTTTGATCAAAAAAATATTTTCCGTAGACTTATTTTCTTGAATGCCCCAAATAATGAAAAATTGTGAAAAATATTTCCTCCAAATTATTTTACGGAAATAAACGAAGTATATGTATCAGTTAAAATTACCCCAAGATATTGTACAATGTATTGCGAGGAAGTGACAAAACACAACAGTAATCAGAATTATTGGGAACAATATTATTTTTACTGTTTCTGTCTTTTGGCGTTCAGCCGGTTTTAGGTGAGTTAAGGTCGAAAGGGAGGTTAGAGGTAGGGGTGGCCCGGCAAAGAATAGACATGGCCAAATCCTTCGTGAAAACCTAAAGAAAATTTCATGTGGTAGGAAAACTCTCGCACATCATTGTCTTTTGTTCTCAATCTTCTTTTACTGTGCAAGACAGAAAAACTTACGTGTGTGTGTAGATATCTTGAATATTTAAGAATGTCTAAATTTACTTGGAAGGTAATTTCTAAAATTTAGGAACTCATTGCTTTTGTAGTAAGTGTATCTATAAATCCACTTGAAATGAATACTCTATTCCTTTCTTTATAGATTCAAATTTTATTTAAAAAAGAAATTGATGAATGGTAAATATTCATCAACTAAAAATTAGTAAAAAATAACTTTTTTTTATTAATCTCAAGCGGGAAAAAGTTTAAGCATCGAGAAATTTCACTTTCATTATATTTATCGAGAAGCTAAATAAGACAAAATAATATAATTGGATCGTACAATAGGTAGTTTTCCTTTCAACTCATTAAATAAGTGAAAAAATCTTATGATTGAAAGAATTCAAATCCGAAATCTACAAATGCTCAAATTTTCAAAGAAAATGAAAAGAACAACGATATTACATTAATAATAAAATACTCATAAAATTATTAACTAGTCTAGTTAATCCCAACTTGAAATTCAAACCCTAGACCAATTGAAAGGCAAAGATTCCATATTAAGGATGTAAACATATCAAATGGCAAAACCTAGATAGAGAAGCTACGCTATAGTTGAGGTTATAAAAAATTTAGAAAAAAAAAAAAAAGAAAAGAAAAAAGAGCATCAACTATATAACCACAGAACCAAAAATGGGCAAACCTCAGAAAAAAATTGTCATTGATTTCTTCGAAAATGACCCCATTTGTTGGCCTACCAAACCCTTAATTTCACACGAAACCTAGTCAAATCTATCTCTATCATACCTTAAAATTATGCATTAACAAGTAACATTATTTATGATGTACATATTTACATTATTATTATTAATTAAAATAATGAAATTCCAAGGATTGGGACCCACATGAAGATATAACAATGTGGATTCTTAATTTTTTTATGCCTTGTTTATTTTCCGCATAGATATGTCTTGTTAATGCCTATATTCTTTTAGCCATCGATAAGGTCTCAACACTTGAAGATAATCTTTTTTTTTTTTTTTAATTATAATAAAGAGTTATAATTTTTAGATGATAATCAACTGTTGACCAAGTGTATCTAGATGAGTATAGTTTTGATTCATTGTATCAAATGTAATATTAAGATACATGGATGAAAAGTGATTAGCACATAATCACATTTTATAACTTGTTTTGTACTAATTAAAGAGGATCCTCATTGATTCATAGTATAGGAAGGTGAGATACAAATTGGTGGCCTTAAATTTATCGCCCATAGTAAAGAGCAAGCAATTACTATTTTTTTTTTTCTTTTTTGAAAATATTTTTTCTTGTTTTACAAAGATAAACCCTATTTGTTTGTATCAATAACAACAGAGCTGGTGTGTCGACAATTTTTAATTTTCTTAATTTTTTTTTAAAGCTTTTAATGTATTTATAATGGAGATAATGACTGATGAGGACATAAAGGTGTTTGATAAGGAAAGCTATGTATGAAATGATGGGCATGTCTTTGTCCCTTGAACACCAAAACCCACTTCATTTTTCCTAAGACTGTTCTGGTTTTGGGTTTTCTTCTTTTATTATAGGAAAATCCAAACTACGCATCATTCTTATATTGTTCTCTCCATTTGTTCCTTATCAATGAGGTTTAGGTGTCAGTTTAAATATAATGATGGGCATGTCTTTATGTCCCCCTTGAACACCAAACATTAGCTCCACTTCATATATTTCCTAGACTGTTAATCTGTTGTGTGCGGGTTTTTTTCTCTTCTCTCTAGTAGAGGAATCCAAACTACCGCATCATTCTTATATTGATAGTGCTTCTCCCGAGTGTTCGATTCCTTCTCAGATGTTGGTTTATTGTGTCCAGGTCTATAAATTTAAATTTATATTTATGTATCTTAATATAATTTGATAAGTATTATTAAGGAATATATAATATTATATTCTTCAATAAAAAATTAATAATTGCTTTGTTTTTATTATATATAAAAATTAATAATTGCCTTTGTTTAACTGTTTCATGATCCTATTTTTTAATGTGTAGGTTGAACAAGTCCAAATATTGGGCCATTCTCTGGCTGTGGGGCTTATAGGTTTGGACCCATTTGTGATGTTGCAACTGTAAAGATATGACCAATCAAAAATCAAAATATCCAGCCAATCAGCCTTAATTAAATGGCCAGTATTTTTTTACTTTTTTTTAAATATTACAAAAAAAAAAAAAACCTCAATTTTTATTTGCTGTTTAAATATATATATTACAATTTGCCTCCTCCTCTTGTACGTGTCTTGGCCACTGATTATGGTAACAGTATCTTTTACATATAAGTTGTTTTTTTTTTGTCATATTTATTTAAAAAAATAATAAAATGAAATAAGAGCTCACAGATTTTCTGTGCCAACAGTCTAAAAACAGTGCTGTGAAGTGAAAAGATATGAAAGATAACTCACGCGTGAAATGGTCTAAGAGGGACGTTTCAAGTTGCTTGAAAGTTTCAATCATGCTCATATTTATACTTAGAATCTTACAATTTTTCTTAATTGAAAATTATCCGTGATACACTAATGAATAAACCAATAACATATTTGTAAATAGAAATTAGAGTTCATACGAAATGTTACATATTCGGTCAAAATTTCATTTAAAGTTTAAAATATTTTTTTTGATATTTAAACCCGTAATTCCCTATTTGGACTTAAACAAACGCTCTGTTAAAACTTTAAATTCTTATAAAGACATATTGAATCAATCAATTTATTTGTATAAATTTCGGAGTTAGATTATGTAAATAATTTCCTAAATTATCTTTTTAAAAAGGTAAATTAGATAAGGAAATGAAAACTCGTAAAAATCAAAGATGGAATCAATAAAGCTTTGATTATCGTAGGTTATCCGGTCTTTCGTGTCCCCTCAATTCATTCAGACAGCCTTTTCTCATTTGGATTGACAAAAGAAAGGAGCGTCAAAAGTGGGGCCCCATTGAATTATGAATGTAAATGGAATTTTATGTTAGAAAAGATAAGAAAACTTTGAAAACTGAAGCTAATGGCGGTGCCGATGCCAAACTCGTCCTCGTCACACGTCATATACTCCTATCCTATCTATCTATGTATTCAAAACCCGTTCTTGAAAAGATTCATCTAATCATCTGACTTACGCAGTGAAATCCAAAACAACGCTCTCTCTCTCGTTCGGGTGTGGGTTTGTTGGGCCTTGGTTGGGCCTGCCCAAACATGAAAATTAAAGTCACAACAATTGACAATTCGATAATATATTTGTTACATTTCTCAAAAGTCATTGAGCAATCTATTTTTTCTCTCAAAAAAAGAAAAAAAAAAAATCATGAAATTCTATTTTTATGTTTCACAATCAAAACATTTACCAATAATTATTTCAGATAATCTGAAATTATATTGTCACGGGGCAAATTTAAATTATGTTCCCTCACCAATGGACTCTGTAACTCGGGCAACAGACTTACCCTTCACAAACATGTGAACTCAAACCCTGGGGTCAGCAGAAATAATTTCTGAAATGTAGATCCCAAAAATTATGCTTGCTTTTCTTTGCAGGTAATGAACAATGAGGATCAAATAAACAAGTTCCTAAAAGAATCTGCTAGCAGTTTCGTTTTAGATTATGCTCAGTCCAAGCATTTGTTATAACATAAACGAAAAGTCAAGTAGCTAAACAACATAAATGCTCGCTCTTCCAAAAAAAAAAAAAAAAAAAAACAACAAAATGCTCGCTCTATCCAAAAAAAAAAAAAAAAAGCATAAATTACGAACATGCTTATTAAAACTGCTTCATAATTAACAAGTCCTATTAAAAAAAAAAAAAAAAAGCATAAATACGACATGCTTAAACTGTTCTAATTACAGTCCTATTCAACTGGTACACGTTAGAGATCTTTCACTCTCACTCACACTAAACAAAATAAAGTTACTGGTTCAATATGCGATCACCTGACAAAAAATGATGCTTGCTCGAGTTCAACATCTTTGCTTCAGAATAGGAGTGACAAGTGCAAAGCCTCCCCTTTCCGTTTCCAGCAACAAGAACATTTCTGGTGGTAACCTAATTGTAGAACCAGTAATGACGGACGCAAAAATAATAGACGAGTCTAGAAGGGTTGAAATGGCAATGGAAATCTAAAATAAAATCTAAGGAACATTCATAACTTGGATGGACTGTAGCATGTCTGAAACTGCTATAACAAGGTCACCCGATTTGATCATTCCTCTAGCCTTGAGTAAGGCGAATGTCCTATTAAGGTTGCTTTCCATATCATCAGAAAAGCTCAGGCGGAAAGGTATCAAGCCCCACTGTAGGTTCAGGCGCCTCCTTACTGATGTCGTGGTTGTAAAAGCAAAGATTGGGCAGTCAGGCCGGCAACGAGACAAGAGAGATGCCATGTGACCATTCTTAGTATAGACAAAAAGTGCATCCACCTCCAAATTGTTAGCTGCAAAATCACAAATCACATGACCATCACAAAATTGAACAGACACAGCTAGGCATGTGAAAATAGTGTACCCTGAGTTTTTATCTTTTGTTCTACAAAAGGATTCATTGCACTTGCAGACAAGTATATACTCCCTTCTTCTCAAAATAATAGTTCACATTGCTAATTTGAGAGGTTCCAGATTAACTGTCCGTTTTCCAATGTTAGTTAAAAGTCAACAAGTCAAAAGGTTATTTTGACAATAACATCCTCAAAATAACTCGCAGCATTCTGTGTCACTTGAAACTAAAGGATAAAATTGGTGAACTAACAAAAATACTTCATTCAAAAAAGTTGTCTTAATCTCCATGCTAAATTCAAATTGGACTACTATTATGGGATTGCAGGGAGTATATAATAGTTACGTTATTGGTGTGGTTCACTGCTAAAAACTTTATATCTTAGTGACATAGGTAATTCATCAATGCAGGACTAGAAGGAGCGAGTTAAAATTAAAAGAGCCCCATGCCATGAAGTCCATAAAGGAGGATACAGAAGTTCTCCTCTAAGGGATTGATATTGAAAGAGTCCGAGTTCTTAGGAGTATCGTACAGGTTTGAAGCTACTTTACTGTCCAGTAGAGCTATTGCTCGGTACAATGCTAAGGGTCCAAGAACTACAACCCAAAGGTATGAGTTTTGATTTTGAGTGTTCAGAACTTCATGGAATTTGGATCATACTGAAAGGTAATACTCTTTCCAAATTCTCTGTCCTAATCCTATTACTGATTAAGCATAAATGGGTGAAGTACATCAATGTTTATGTGTGCACTATTGTCTAACTACAAACTGAATCAAATCAAGCTTTGGCTAAGTTCAAGCAGTTCAGTTTGTCATACTGAGTTTGTCATTATGGTCTCATTGCATGATAACCATATAAAACCATCATATATATAGTAATAGCAACCTCAAAATTTCAACAAAAACATACACACCTCTACTTTTTTCGGAGGAACTATATCTTTTGATCATTAGAAAAAAAAAATCATTAGATCCATTTATCAGATTAAGCTATCTAGACTTGATTGAAAGAATGCTTACCCATCTTGGCAGCAGAGTTGCAAATCTCTTCAGAAATAGAATCTGAAAATGAAGATCCTATGGCTGGGAGTTCCATAACTTCATGACGCTTCTCTTCTCTCCACCATTTCTCGATTCTCACACTGACACTTCTCAGAACAGCCAGTGCCTTCTCTGGGTACTGGCCCATGGCTGACTCACCAGAGAGCATCAAAGCATCAGCCCGTTGCCTAACTGCTTCAGAAACATCAGCTACTTCTGCTCTGGTGGGTGTAGGGTATTCAATCATAGATTCAAGTAATTGAGAAGCAACAATGACTGGCTTATCTAGCTGCCTGCAGAGCTGAACAATCTTTTGCTGGGCTGATGGAACCTGTTCCAATGGTATCTGAGCACCCAGATCTCCTCTTGCAACCATAGCTCCATCTGATGCTAGAATGATCTCTTCTAAGTTCTTCAATGAGTCAATACTCTCTATTTTTGCAATGACAGCTATGTCACTGTATCACATAATAAAAGTCTGTAAGTCCAATGCAATAAGATTGTCAAAATTCAGAAGTGTGAATATTTTTATTATGAATATGACGGAAACTTATAACAAAACACATGTAATGAATGAAACTCGTAACATTTTCAGTTTTAACAACTGTTTCATTGATTTGATATAATAACTATAATGAAACAAACACTACAGCAAAGAAAAGAAGCCAAACTTAGGCCAGATATACATGATATAAAAATAAGCTGCAAATGATATGCCAATAGGTAACAAACAACTTGGTCTTTATTCAAACTTGAGTCTAGCTTCATAAGATTCAAGCACAAGACTGAAAAACTTTACATAAATAATGATTAAATAAGCATACCTATCACGAGACCTAGCAGCTATGTAGCTCTTGAGATGATTAAGCACTTCAGCAGACTTGACAAATGATATTGCAATAAAATCAACACCCTCTGCAATACCAAAATCGATGTCCAACCAATCCTGATGAAACGAAAGGCTCAAGCATGAGAACAGACAGAACTTTTTCAAATTTTGTAGGAAAAAAAACTGAAAAATGTAAGGAAGCAGGAATGGAAGATGTGCAAATGGGCCAATACTATCTCTATCAGCAATAAATTTTAATAATAATTATGCTTGTACATGCACAACACAGGCAAGTGTATACTCATTCACTCATAGTCATAGGAGGCACCTTTTACTTTGTAAAGTTTAATCAGATCATATATTTCCCATAGTTAAGTTTGACAGTAACTGTCAAGCCATGTTGAATCAAAATCAAAGCCAATCAATACATTCGACCTGACTTACAGTCAACATATATTCCTAACCTTTTTCTACAGTTCTAGATGACATCGATATATGTCAACAACTTACATCAAAAGGGTGATAGCAATAGCTTAACTTCTATAAAAAGCTATTTGTAAATCCCAAAATATAACGGAAAATTGGAAATTGTGTTTCACTTCAGAGGACGCTCCCCTCCAAATAAATAAATAAATAATGACATGCTTTAGCGGGCAATAGGCAATGTCCCATTTGTCTAGAAACTCTTTTTTTTTTTTTTTTTTTATGACTTGCTTTAGCGGGGGCAATGTAGGCAATGGGTCCCATTTGTCTTAGAAAGAAACTCTTTTTTTTTTTTTTTTTTTTTTTTTTTTTTTTTTTTTGCTCTTATTATTTTTCGACTATATATATATATTTATGTGTGTGTGTGTGCGCGCGCGCGTGTGTATGTGTGTGCAAATGCACTTAAAAAAGAAAATAGCAATTCTATTTGAGAATACATGAGAACAAATGCACTTCAGTTACCAAGAATTTTCCACACCCAGCAGAAAATATTATGATCAATGGGAAGAAAAGCTTTTACATTGTGAAAACTAATATAAGGAGAAAAGGACAAACAAACAAATAACTTCTAGTTTAAATGAAATAAATAATAACATCTTTTTTCTACCATTAAATTAGAAATGACCATATAATAAAATGATGCTTTCATCAAAGATGTTTGACATTTAACCGGTGAAGGGAAAGGGAAAGAGATTGAGGTATCATCAAATAAACTTCTACAAGTAAATGAGAAAATTCTGACAACAATATTTAGTTAATTAGCTCTCTTGTCAATATCTTGTCATTCTAAGATTTGAATGTCCTGATCAAAAGAGAAATAAAAAGAACTAAAAGTTAATGTAATCCCGCAGCCTTATGAAGGTGACCACCTCCCTCACAAAATCGTCATAGCTGCGGACTTCGTTTTTTCCTCATATGCAGTGAATCTCAAAGATTTATAAAGCTTTAAAAAATTTGAGGTACGTAAATAAAACACACAATGGAAAAACCTCGATTAGGCTTTTCTACTCGGTTAAAGATGCATAAATACATTATTCGAGGTCTACAAAAGATTAAGTTTTACTTTTGCAGAAAGGCAGGGAAAAGTGGTTAAAATCAAAGGGCTGGAAGAAGATGCGCCAACCTTAGGGGAAATTGTGGGAAGCATGGCATTACGTTCTCGCACTAGACTTCCATTCCTCCAGAACGTTAAATTAGCTCGTGGTAGCAACAATCCCGGATCAGTACATCTGCATTTGACATCTGGACCAATTTTCTCAATCACCTCAAATCTTACCATCCCACCATCCACTAGGAGTTCATCCCCAACTTGCACATCTGTAACATGTTAAAAAGTAGAGAATAAATACGTGTACAGAAGGGAAAAGAGGACAGCATCAGAACAAAAAATTTCTAGTAAAAACGATATCACGGTATGATAATGTTATGAAAATTACCCTCGGCAAAACCATCATAGTTCACATTGATAGTGCGTTCTGGGCGAGGTGAGGCAAAGGCTCTGACACTGAAAGTCCATATTTCACCATCCTGCACATCCAAAGAAACTTATTACAGTAACCTCCAAGCCAAAGAACAAAGCACCCGCAAGATTCATGTTGCAAGATTTTTCAAGATAATTGATCTCATTGATAACGTAATTCCTACCATCAAGGTAATGCGATTTACCTAAGGAACAACTTAATTGAACTGGGCTATCTATCACATATAAAACAAGAACTAAACAATAACAATAATCTGGAAATGGAAAATGAAATTCACAAATACAACATTTGAGTTAAAAAATTTACCTCAGCTTTAGCAGAGGGAGCTCCACCAAGATCGCCCATGTGAATCTCACTCCCTTCAGTATCCATCATAATAGCCACAGCAAAACCTTTCTCTTCATTCAGTCTCCTAACACGCTCGATGACTCTTTTATGCCACTCGCGCGTGCCGTGGCACATATTAAGTCTAGCAACATTCATTCCTCCCACCGCCAGCGCCTCCAGCTGCTCGAAGCCGCAAGTGGCCGGACCGATGGTGCAAACGAGCTTAGTCCTCCTCGTACTCCTAAATCCATTCTCCTTTAATTCTGCTTCCGTCACCGCATCTACCTCAATCGAACTCACATCAGTAACTGGCAAAGTATTGTGTTCCGTAGACAAAACGCCGCTTCCAGTGCCATTTCCAGAAACAAGGACTTGAGATGACGGAGCGGAGTTAGGATCTGAAGATGCTGATGCTTTAACGGAGACTGATTTGGAAATGAAAGTGATGGGAAGTCGGGTATTGGAGGTTGGAAGAGAAGGTTTAACGAAAGGTTGTTTAACGAAAGTGAGGTTAGGAGAACGAGTGAAGAAATGGAGTGACTGAGACATGGTTACCGGGAAATGTATTGCCCGGTGGCCACGTGGCTATTCACCGGAAAGGAAAAGAAAGAGGAAGACAGAGGTTCGGGATGGAGAGGTGGAGGTTTTAGAGAGGGGAGGGGCGGATATAACAAAGAAGAGAAAGACAAATTGACAAGTGAGCTTTGTAGATGTCGCCAGGACAGTAGCCAGCCAGCAAAAGAAATTCGGTGCAGGATGTGGATACCAAACGGATCTTTTCTTTGTTTCGCAGGTGTTAAACAAGTAATTAGGTTAGTTGTAGTAGAGTTATTATACGATGCAGTTTTGGTATGGAAGGTCGCCTAAATGGAAGAGTTTGATTGGTCATAAGATAAACATTAAGTATTGGATAAATTTTACACCTCTAATATACATTATATTTAGCTCTTTCTCTCTCCTTTTTTTTTTTAAATACACCTCGAACTATGATTTCTTCTTGAAAAAAATTTGCACAAATTTGATAATACATTGAAAATTTTGCGAGAAAACTAATTTTCTTTTTGATTAAATTCTATAACATTTACTAAAAAGCTAATAATTTTTTTGTTAATATCAAATATTTAAATACTAAAGTTCTGTTTGCTTTCAAAAAAATATTCACCTTAAAAAAATTAATTACATAAATATTTTTCTCAAAAGAAAAAAAAAAGATTTTTCAAATATTTACAAATTTATTTGACCTTTATAAACAATATGTATATTAATTTATTAAACACTTGCAATCGCAATCACTGTTATCAATCACAAGCTAATTACGTTGACGTCACTAAGTGATTACGACTACCACGAGTTATTATTTTTATAAATTTTTTCATTTTTCTTGAAACTTTCAACTTTTTCATATTTAACAATAATTTTTTTCTTGATATATATATATATATATATTTAAGAAAATAAAGCCTAAGAATATTTTATACGATATGCTGTTGATATTTTTTTTCCTTTAATATTCCTATCTACCAGAAATGGGACGATGGCTCCATTATTTTGATATTTTGATTTAGGTGTATATGAACATGATGCATTGTGTTTAATCCTTTACTTCATTGGGGATTTTTTTTTTTTTTTTTTTTTTGATATTTTGATTTAGGTGTAAAATAAGTGAACATGAATGCATTGTGTTAATCCTTTACTTCATTGGGGATTTTTCTTTTTTTTTTTTGAGATTTGGTCCGTTTGGGAATATTTTGACTATTTTGTAGAAAAGAAGGGGTGTTGTTCTTGGTTTTCTCTTCATTTTTCTCTTTTTAATTGACTTTACGGGCTATTGGAGAAGGTATTTTTTTTTTTTTTTTTTGAGATTTCCTTTGGGATATTTGATATTTGTAGACAAAGAAGGGGTGTTTCTTGTTTTTCTCTTCAATTTTCTTTTAATTGACTTTACGGCTTTGGAGGCGGTATGTTAGCATATTGCTTTGGGCTACTGGAGCCGACATGGAAGCAACAAGAAAAGTATAAAAATTGAATATTTCTATAGAAAGCAATGGTTAGTGTTCACTAAGGGGAAGAGTTGTTCTCATTTGGTTTACATGTGATCTTTATTATTTATTTGTTTTTTTTAAGAAAAAGAAAGAATAAGTAAATAATCAATTGCATAATTATTTAATCAGCAAAGTGCACTATTTAAAGACAAAACTTATGTTTTTAACTTTATGAAAATCGAGGGCTATCAAATAAAATTTGCGTTTTTAACTTTATAAAGATTGAACCGCTTATCACTTCAATAAACATTTTCATTATTCAGGAGTCGTATTTTAAAACAATTAGAAAAAACGAATATAAAAAAGAATATAAAAAGTAACTTTATCAAATTATCATTTTTATGGGCCCTGATCATAGCTTGCAAAATTAAATGGACCCATAACTAACGGACGATAAGCCCATTCCATTATGGATGGACTAAGAGTTTAGAATGATCACGATGACGTGGATATCCACTACTCCAACTGCCAACGTGTCACCGACAGCAGTGCTCTCCATCATCCTGGAGGCTGGAGTGGATCGAAACTATTCAACAAAAATTAATCTAATTCTTCGCCGTTCTTCCACGCTTTCACAAACAGATCGCACAATCTCTCTCTAATGCGAATTTAATCTAATATCATTTCCTTCGTATTTGGGTCCTCTCCTCTTCCACCTCCTTCAAGACCCATATCCATCTCCGTTGCTCATCTTCTTGATATCCTCTCTTTAGGTCAAATCCCTTGATTAAAGGTTCAATCTTTATCTCCTTTCTTTTATTTCTTTGTCCATTTCAGATATACAGTTGTAATTACGACTGCGATCTTTGACTAATTGTTTTCTATTTTATTTGATAATTTAGTTTTTTTTAATTTCCCAATCTATTTGCAGTTCCCTATTATTATTATTATTATTATTATTTTTAAATTGTGATTTGGTAAACATATTGAAATAGGCATGTTCTTTTTGAATGTCTTATTATTAGGTTCTTGAAACTAGAAGATGGGAGCGTTTATATCCAAGTTTTGGTTCATGTTGTTTCCTGCAAAAGAGTACAAGATTGTGGTGGTTGGGTTAGATAATGCAGGCAAGACCACGACGCTTTACAAATTGCACTTAGGAGAGGTCGTGACTACTCACCCTACTGTTGGCAGCAACGTTGAAGAGCTCGTTTACAAGAATATTCGGTTTGAGGTGCCATTTGTTTAACAACTTATTAAATCCCCTCAATTTGATTTAATTTCTTTTAGGTTTTGGGTTTTGTTCTGCACTGTCTACAACTTTGGCTCTATGGTGATTTAGATTATAATGCTATTATTCACAAAGTTGCGTAAGGACAGGAAAAAGTTGTGATTTTTGTGGTGAAAAGACAGACGTGTTGATTTAGATTGAGACAGGAGTTGTTTTAATCATTGTAGATAAATGATGCTTGCTTTTCGGATTTTTTTTTTTTTTAAAAAAAAAAAAAAAAAAAAAAAAAGATGGCTCCTGCTTTTCGGATTTTTTTTTTTTTTTTAAAAAAAAAAAAAAAAAAAAAAGAAAAGAATTTTTTTTTTTTTAAAAAAAAAAAAAAAAAAAAAGAAAAGAAGGAAAGGAAATGCTTCAAGAGAAAACTAAATGTAAATGTAGTAGCTATGAAACTGGTTAAGTATTGATTAATTTCAAAATATATCATCTTTGACTTAGAGTGTCTGTCCAGTCAGAAAGTGAGTTTTTATTTACATAGCAATTAAGTCACCAATTGAGTGAATGCCTCAAGGCCTTTCTCTTATAATTGCTGTTACCAATCTCTGTTATGTTTGTTTGATACTCTGTTCAGTGGCTGAAAAAATATGTTATATGAAAAAACGAAGCATTATTTGCTTAAACCTTAAGACATTTAAAATCTATTTGAATTCAATAACTTGGGTTCCTCAAAGAGTTTTTTGGTTGCTCATCTTTGAGTTAGGTTGCAGTAATCTGCTAGCAGATATTGGTGTCAACGTGCTGCATAGATAAATTTTGCTAAAAAAATGGCAATATTTAGTCATTATATCATTGCCACACTTCTCTTTTTTCCTCTTCAAAATTTGGAAAGATGGTTTTTGGACTAACGAGTTGGTTTTCGGATGGAGCCTTTTTTGGACTAGGGGATGAAACGATTTAACTCTCCCACCTTTCATCAATCAGGCTTGTAGTTGGCCCCCCACCCAATCCTTGTTCCACCTTTTGTTTTGTTGTTGACCTTTGCATGCCATGGAGATCAGGAAATCATAAAATGCAGCTGTGACAATTGATGATAACAGTGCTATTTGGTTGCAAATTGGTAGGAAGATCTTGGAAATGCAGCTTTGTGCTCTAATAGGTTTTTAAGAAATTAGGAACTAAGCTTTTTGCAGTGTAGTTATTTGTTAGAGAAATGGTTGTTTCATCAGGTTCAATTTGGTTATGTTGAATATTAAGTAGGCTACCTTTCCACTTCTTAGTGGCAAAACTTTGAGGACCAGTTTTGATCTAAAATGAAAGGATATAGATTGGTTTGATATTTGTTTGGAGCACTTGCCTGAGTGTTTTTACGTTTGGTGAATTTTGATGCGATTCCCTTTTTTATTGTAGTGAAAGATGCTTGCTTTGTCAGTTAATCATATGTTAATTTTATGATGTGGATGATGCTGTTGGTTATATGTGAAGTTATTCTAGGAACCTAAACAAGTTTCTCTACTGTTGGCATCAGGTCTGGGATTTAGGCGGGCAAGAAAGACTCAGGACATCATGGGCTACATATTATCGTGGAACTCATGCTGTCATTGCAGTGATTGACAGTACCGATAGAGCCAGGATCTCAATTATGAAGGATGAACTTTTCAGATTGCTTGCACACGAGGATCTACAAAATTCTGTTATACTGGTGTTTGCTAATAAACAAGACCTTAAGGATGCCATGACCCCAGCTGAGCTGACTGATGCTCTGTCTCTCCACAGCATCAAGAATCATGATTGGCACATCCAAGCTTGCTGTGCCCTTACAGGTGAAGGTCTATATGATGGTCTAGGGTGGATCGCCCAGCGAGTTACTGGAAAAGCATCAAGTTGAGGGGAAAAAGTGTAATAGAAAAGAAAGTTCATTTTTCAAATATCGATGGATTTGAAGGACGAGTGAAACAGAATTATCATTGTGTACTATCTAACTGTACGCATCATCAATATTGTAGATTGTTTCTTACATTTGAATTGGCCTGAAGGATTTGTCATGTTTTTCACAATGAAGCATTTGATTGTAGATTTTCCAATGAAGAAAATGTTGCTATAAGATCGTTATTTTCTACACGATGGAACAGTAAATCAAACACTGCCAATGACAAAGTATTGCTAAAAAATTGTTGCATGTTGCTGAAGCCTCTGCCCAACTGAAATCAATATAACGCCTGAAATCAGCAATCAATATCAGAGTATCCAACACCTGCAACCTTTTGATTCTTGAGGGCCTTCAAACCATCGATCCCATAACGGATTTAGTGGGCCATTAGTTCTGTCAAATTGCAATAAACAGGTACTTAGAAACTTTCAAAGTCATGGATAGACCATAAGAATCATCACAGAGAGGATCGCAGAAAGACATTTACATTGGCAGTAGAGGGTCTGGCTTACTTGCCACATTGCTTAGCATTCTGGGCGCACAAAATAAATTTAGTTACAAATTAATACGTATTCTCAGATAACAAAGGCAACCAATTGAACATTAGATTACTGTGTATTAAGCATCTGAGCACACTGTTTTTTTTTTTTTTTTTTTTTTTTTTTTAAAAAAAAAAAATTCTGGGCGCAGAACAAAAATAAATTTTAGTTACAAATTAATAACGGTTATTCTCAGATACACAGGCAGACCCAATTGAACATTAGATAACTGGTAATTAAGCATGCTGAAGCCCACGGTTTTTTTTTTTTTTTTTTTTTTTTTTTTTAAAAAAAAAAAACTTACTCTTGCATAGCTGCAAGATGCAGTTGTCCATCTTATCTAGCTGTTCCAACTCTTCCTGTGTTACAAGCAATTGCAGTTCAAAAAAATGAAATTCACAGTTAGTATTCTTACATCTTAATGTTAAGTTTTTTTTTTTTTTTTTTTTTTTTTTTTAAAAAAAAAAAACTTACTCCTTGCATGCTGCAGATGCAGTTTCCATCTTATCAAGCTGTTCCAACTCTTCCTGTGTACACATTCATTCAAAAAAATGAAATTCACAGTTAGTATTCTTCATCTAATGTTAAGCATTCTATGATCTTTACAGTAACGTTCAATGACAAACCCTATTGCAGAAATTAAGTCATTAATTATAATGCAGTGAGAACTTTTCAAGAACTGCAAGCAATTGTTATCCAAAGTAGACATAAGATTGCAACATTAAGTGAAAGCATATTCCATTTGCCCCATAAAAAAGTTTCTTGAAGGTGAATATGAAATTCTAGATGGGGTAACAGATAAGCAAAGAAAACATTTACAGCACCACATATTTTCTACCGAACAAGATTATGCTGCCATCATGCATGCTTGCAATCAATTTTCATATTGAGATGATCCATTCTAACGCACTTAGACAAACAAAAACCAAATAAAGCCTTCCTACAAGGAACTCCCCAGGAATGGGAAATAGAAGAATCAGTGTTGTCCTAGATCTAAAATGATCACTGCAATGCGGGGTGTGGAAGACCACTTACAGGTGGTTTGAATCCTAAATTAATTGTCCTCTCTACCCCTCTTGTTTGTAGATGTACAGAATGGAAGACTAACTTTGCATCTGAAATCACTTGGAAACAAGATCCACCAAGGTTCCAAGTTGAAAGATTATTTTACAAATGCTGTCGGTGATTAGGACAAGCTTACAGAGATAACTGTCTGACATAAAAGAAATACCACCTTTGCAAACTAATTTGCTCTAAATTCAAGGGATAGGATGTAATTATAAGGAAACAGATTGTGTTTGCCACAGCCTGCTTACACCAGAATAATTTTCAGTTTTGAAAGGCATGCTCAGTGACTCTAATGTCTGTGGTTCTAAAAACAGAAAAATCATATACACTGAATAGTATGCATTCCCAGGATAACAACCATTTCTTCCACGCTCAAAAGGTGCAGTCTAAAGGTTACAGTCATAACAAATTGAATTTTCACAGCCAGCTTTTGCTAATCCCCAAATCTCAAGGAAATTGAGGGTAGAAATTTTTTTTAAAATATATATAATCTTGTGCAATTTATAGAAGTGCACTCATTTGCAGAAAGAGATTATGTGGCCATTTGCTCGTGCACCCTTTTCAATCCATCTAAAATCATATTATTTGTTCAACTGCAGTAACAACCATTTTTCCAGGGATGGCAACTGACCTATAATGACTAGATTAGAGGCCTAATTCTCACAATGGAATGATCAGCATATCTCTCAGCAGTATTCACGAGTTAATCCTTGGTTGAGATAATAACTTTCTGAACAGGCTTTTAAACTCAAGCTACAAGTCTTGCGAAACCTATTTTTTCCTAAATTGTATTGCATCGGCCTCATTGAGTCTTCTAAGTACCTTTATACAACAGTGCAGCACATAAATTGAATAGAAGCAATATCTCACAAAATGTTGAGCCAGGAAGCTTGTGCATTAGTAAATTTACAATAAAATCTATTAGAAGCTAAGATGCACATATAGCACGGTGAATGTGGCAGTATGCTAAAGAAACATTAACCTGAAGGGCGAAACAAATGAGAAACTCAAGTATAAAGACTCAGCACTGTCACCATGCAAGTCAACTAAGCATAACAAAAAGGAGAGGCATGGAAAATGAAGGATTTTACTAAAAATTTAATGTTAATGCAAGTCAATCTTCATGTCACCCGTTTGATTCCAACAATTTCAATCGAATAATATGTCAACCGTTTATAACAAACTGACATCAATTGGATTCCAGCAATCAATTAAACAACACAAACCTCTAAAACCTTTTGCTTAGTTAAAAAGATCTATATGAACGGTTCTGCTACTCTTTACTAGTGAATACTTGGCTTCTTACAAATTCAAAATTTGCACATATAGCCAGCCTATAGCATTATATTTCAATTAAAATTCTTCATAACTTGGCGGGTCCAGCATGGAGAACTTGAAATTAGAATTCAAAAGGAATTAAAGTTAAACAACTCCATTGCTTTTCTTCCTCAAATGAAACCCACTTCAAGATTCCCATTTCTTATTCGAAATAGACTCTTACAGTCAAACAAAAAAAGTTGGAAGAACCCAGAAAATAAATAAATAAGCACAAATAAAAAGAACCAACCTCTAAAAATCTAGCTTCTTGCTCAAGGCGCTTGAGCTCGGCTTGTATCCTATGCTTTCCTCTAGTATCAGTAGCAGAGGCCAAAGAGTTGACACGTTGGGTTATCGGACCCGAAGAATCAGACCTATCTGATTGCATCTCCTAAAGACACACAACACAATAATACAAACAGCCCTAAGCCTTCCCCTTTGACTAAAATGATAGAAACAAAAGTTGCATCACAAGAAAGATGCCATTAGATAGGAAAATAAGGGTGACCCAGAAATCCATATGGACCCCATGTACTTGAACCTAACTACTACCTTCCATTTAAGCACAAGCAAAAACTACAAAAGGGATCTATCTGTTCAACAACTCGAAGGAAAGAAAGATAGAATTAGGGAGGATTTGTTGTTTGGCCTTTTGTGAAGGCTTTTTTAATCGAATTAGAAGACAAAGAAACCAGTTTTATTCTTGTTGTATGAAAGCTGGAACTCTTTTTCTCTCTCATTTTTCTTGTGTCTTTTTTGTCTCTCATTGAGTCTACTGTTCTCCGCTTTCTAATTCATCCACGCGATGTCTCTCGATGGTCGACACGCACTCACAATATTTGAAATTCCAATTATAATTTGGGCCTTTCTGCCATGTCCATCTTTGGCACTTACTGCAAATCTCTGCACTCCATATCTGTCCGTGCCAATTTAAATCCCTTGCTGAAGAAGATGTGGAAAGCTGGTCAGTTACAGGGCAGTTACGTACTCCAAAACAATTAACTTTATATCCAGACAAAAATTATAAAAATACTCGTGGAAAAAAAATCCTAATAAATAGTAGTTAGTGCTCCAAAAAAAAAAAAAAAAAAAAAAAATATATCCAGACAAAATTATTTTAAAAAATTACTCGTGGAAAAATCCTAATAAATAGTAGTTAGTGCCTCCAAAAAAAAAAAAAAAAAAAACGAGTACGTACACTTAATGTATAAATGAGAGAGTATTGGCCAATTTTTCATAGGGAAAATAGAAATGAAATAATACTATAATTAGTCTAAAAAAAAAAAAAAAAAAAAAAAGAGTTACGTACCTTACATGTATAAATGAGAGTATTGGCAATTTTTCATAGGAAAATAGAAATGAAATAATACTAATAAATTAGTCTTTTAATTACAAAAGTGAAGGTGAATTTTCTTTATAATAATAACAAACTCTTGAGAAATAGTTTTATTAATATATTTAATAAGTATAAACCAGTTAAGTCTTGTTTATAAAGTATGCAGTTCATCTCATAATTGAACCAACTTATTTTTAAATAAAATATCAAAATTAAACATATAGTGTTTGACTGATCTGTACGCGTGAATAATTAACTACGGCGCGTTGAGATGAGTAGCTTGAAAATTTTTTCTTTTTTTATAAAATAAAATATTCTTCTTTATAATTTTAATAAGTTGTTTTTAAATAACTATTGGCTGATTTCTCAAATTATTGAGAATTTTTTAAATAATTTTATCAAACAATTAATTACTTATTTTTTCAATTAATTTATAAATTAAAAAGAATTTTTTAGTTAAAAGTTAAATAAACAAACTAAACACCCTCTTGGTAGTATTTTAGAAAATTTTTAATATTGAAATTAAAATTTCGTTTTGAATCATTATTTATAAGTATCTATTTTAAGTACTTATGAATGAAAATATGTTAAATTTATAATTTAGTAAATCAATAAAACAATGTCCATAAACCCATAAGTATTTCAAACGGATTGTAATTTTATAAAATATTGTCCTAATTTTATAAACTGTGAATTGGAGCGTGTAGTACACATGATGGTTAGGGCCGTGGGGCTGAAGGAGGACGCCACGGTGCTCGACACATGGAAATCACTTCAAGAGCGGTGGCACATCGTTGTCCGCGTGTAATATGTGAGGAACAGGCGTTTTTTTATTTACCTTTTTTTTTTTATAGAAATTTTCAAAAATGTTTAAAAGCTTGCGATTTCGTCTCCTTATTAGGAATAATGTTCGATGATCCTCTGCATAAGAACGAAATATATAATTTATTCAAAAAATCAATTTTTTCTAACGTAATTCTCACTCTAATTTTACACCAAATGTTAAAAGTCTAACGTAGAAAATAATATTTTTTGATTATTTTAATTAACAGAATTATTTAATTTAAAAATACAAGTAAACATAGATTTTTTTGAGGGCAACAACAATACCACTTTATTTAAATAATGTTTTCAGCAAAAATATTTATTTCATACTTAAATATTATTTAAATAAATAAAATTGAAATTTTCAAATTGAATTTTTGATAAGGAGATCCGATGGAATTGTTGAGATCCGATGGAATATACAATGTATATATCTTTCATTGAATTGATAAAAATTTTAAATTTTTATGTAATTAAATGGGATAAAAATTTTAATTTGAAAAGAATGATTGCATTTTCAAATTTTCGAAATATTTTTGGAATACAAATTGAAATAGGTTTATTTTACTTCATTCCAACACAATTACACACAAGTGCGCCACTATTTGAAGGAGCATACGTGGTCAACGCATAGAGTTGCCAGATCATAAACACGTGTCTTTCTGATGCATTTCATCTCGCACCACCTGTACTTAGCTTATAGACTGCAATACATTGCCAAGACGAGTAGTATTCTGTATTTCAGAAATAGACATTAGCTTAAAATCCAGAAGAAGAAGAAGAAGAAGAAGAAGAAAAGGTGATGTTGCCACAAATATATGGAATTTTACTGCTCCAGGTAAAAATGTCAATCTCAGTTGCAACCTCAATCAACCAAGTGGCTAAAACCGTACTGATCTGGTCCAGCAGGCAAAAATATTCACTAGAGTTCCCCGCAGTAACAATGAAAGAAATGGTCAAGTCTCAAACGAACGAGACCACTCAACCTGACGTTTCTGACCCTCCTCCAGTGAGTCCAGGGCAGAACCCAGGACCAGATTTTCCACGACCACCGATCCCCTCCCCTCCTGCTCCTGATATCCCAATGCCAAAACCAGGGATGCCGCCACCACCAATTCAGCCTCCGCCGGATAATCTGCCTCCTCTCCCAAGGCCAGATATCGAACGTCCTGAACTGCCGGAAATCGTGCCACCACCATCTATAATCCGGAAGTGACCCCATCGACTGGCCCTTCTGGGAATTTCTTCTTTTTCTAGGAAAATGAAGAGTACTGTTGTTTTGTTAATTACTGTATGCAGCCACTGCATGTCTGTACAGTTATTTTTTGATAAAACACTATCTCAAGGGCAATAAGAGCCTTTTTGAAGTTGAAACTTACAAGAAAACAAACTGAAATGCCTAATGTTAGGTTATCATTACTCGACATTTTGAGTTATTTAATTAATAATGCAAATATTCTGTCATTCAGCTACTGATATAAAAAAAATGTTAAACGCAAGTTTTATATACATGCCGAGACAGGCCACTGAGGCGCCTACGTGGTCAATTTAGAGAGTCGCACAAATAATAAAGATGAATATGTTGGTGCATGTCCTACAAGTGTCTCACTCCTTCCACTTTCTGTGATGCAGCTGCTTGATTCTTGATTTTCGTTTAAAGTAGAAAACACATATACACACAGCTAGCTCTGGTTCAGACAAATAAATACTTAAAACCCTTGCTCATGGCGCTTTTGTTAAAGATGTCTACTTCTGTCCCAGCAATCTCAATTAACCTGATGAAGAAAGCAATCCCAATTTATACGCCAAACTCTATCTCAACAAAAGAACAAAAACCTCCATCTGTTTTACTTTTCTATGCAATTCCAGATAGAAAGATCGTGAACGGTTCTGTATATAACAAACAAAATCTTGTATCTCTTGTGGCTCAATTACGACTAGTCAATGACCAATCTAACCCACCAGAATTCCCTAGAAAGCCAGATTATACTTCTCCTTCATTTCCATCTGAGGTTCCAGAACTTCCCAAGGATCCAGAGATCGAGTTCGATACTAGTCCACCTGAAGAAATCCCGCTACCTCCGAGTACTCCAGAGATGCCAACTTCCGGACCCGACTATCCTGTCCCTCCTCCAACGCCTCCTGACGTTCCACTCCCGCCTCGGCCTCAGCCACCTAATCCACTGCCCCCGAAGTTTCCTGACCCACCTACTCATCCACCGCCGGATATTCAGCAGCCACCGGATCTTCCGCTGGAAATCAAGCCACCGCCTGGCCCATATGTAATCTGAACTGTAGACTTGGCTAGGACTTGGGAGGCTTTCGATCGTTTCGTTTCCTTGTTTTATATGATAAATAGTCTTGTATGCTTTCCATTCCCGTTTTGTCTTGTAATGGACTTTAATCTATTCGGTGTATTTTGAGTCTATCTCAGGGAAGTTTTGTACGTTCAACTAGTGGGATTACGGCCCATATAAGGTTGAGCCAGAGTTTCGAATTAAAAGGTAGCCTTCCAGTTTTCAGGAGGAAGGAGATACTGACATACTGTTCAAGTAGCTTGTGAAGTTTGCCTGCTTCATGATCCCGCGTCGGACGACGAGTCGTTTCAGAATTGTCGGTTGGCGTGTCAAATAATGGCTTTATCCCCTCTTCTGGGTTTGGATTTCATTTAGATAAAATTGGTATTTAATTTGACAATCCAAATCTGAATTCAAAATTTCAAACTGCTAGATGCAAAATCTGTTGATTATAGAAAAAAAAAATCAGTTACTAGGTGGTAGAAGCAGAAATGGTTGAAATAACATAGTGCGCTTGCGGGAAACAATTTTCTATTTTCTGTTTTCTTAAAAAATAAAAACTTGAGAATACAGAACTAGAGAACACTTCTATTTTCTGTTTTCTTAAAAAATAAAAACTAGAGAATACAAAACTAGAGAACACAAAACGGAAAATGTGTTTCACTTTATAATAATAAAAAAATTATATTTTAATTCATACAAAACTAGAGAACACAAAACGGAAACTGTGTTTCACTTTTAAAATAAAGAAAGATTATATTTTATTTAACATTCCGAAATATTGTTTATTTAAATATAAGATAAATTTTAAATTTTTTTTTACTGTTAAAAAGCTTTTCAATTTATTATTACTTGAATTACTTACAATATAATTAATATTATTTTCTATCATTTTTGTAATGGTTTAAATAAGAATGTAATGCAAGACTAGTAATAAATAATTAATTAATTATTAAATCATATATTAAATTTATTTTATTTAAAAATATTTTTTTTTTTCAATAAAATATTTTATAGGAAACATTATTTATATATATTATATTAATTATGAAAATATCATTTTTTAAAAGTGGAAAACGGTTAAAAGGAACATGTCTTTTATTATAATTTTATTTATTAAAGTATAATATTAATGTTTTATTTTATTTAAATCTTAGTTAAATTTTAGAAAATTGAAAAATTATTTTCTAGTTTTTCAAATAGGAAACTGACTAATTTGAACATGAAACTCTGTTGTTCGATTTTTTTTGAAAAACTATTCTAGAAAATTACTCTAGTTTTCTACGCTGAACACACCCTTTGTGTTTGATTTGATGTTTCTTTATAAGAATTTGATACGGAGCCATCATCTAAATTTGAGCAAGGAATATGATATTCTATTGAAATAACTTTAAATAAAAATTTTGTTCTATATTTAATATTTAATAACCAGTTTGGATTAAATGAATTCAACAAAATTTCATGGAATTCATTTGGAAAATCAATATTTTATATTTGAAATGAAAAAAAAAATATGAATTTGAATTTGATGGAATTGGGTATACCTAACTCAATTTTATTAAAATTGGTGGAATTTCTAAATGAATTCCATAAAATTGAACCATTAAATTTTCATTGACAAAACTACCCTCTATTATAAACTTAATTGGTTTTGCTTTTTTTTCCCTTTTTATTTATTGTTTGGAAAATTCCTATTGACGTTATTTTTTTTCTTTTACTCTTTTTTTTTTCTTTTTGTTTACATTTTTTTTTGGAAAATTCCTATTAACGCTATTTTTTTTTCTTTTACTTTTTTTTCTCCTTTTTGTTTACTTTTTTTTTAGAAAATTCCTACTAACATTTTTTTTTTCTGAAATCTAATAATAACTAACATTATTTTTTACCTCCATTATAAACTAGTAATAACATTACTTTTTTTAATTTAATAAAAACGTTAGTTATTACCGTGAAACTATCAAAACTAACTATTAACGATTGTTTCCAAATGCAATTGAAAATAGTAATAACTTTTTTAAATATTTTTATAATTTTAAAATTAATTACTTAAATCAATAAGACTTTTAAGAATTAAAATTATTATTACGATGAATGTTAATACTTGTATAATTAAAAAAATAACATTTATTATATTGTATATAATAAATATAATTGGTTTTGTCACTTATTTTTATTAAATTATTATGTCAAGGTGTATAAGAAATAAAGACAAATGAATTTTTATTTAAAAATTTATTCCAAATATAATTTTCTAAAATTTAATTGAATTTGTTATTCTAATTTATCACATACCAAATATTAAAAAATTATTTATAAATAAATTTTATTTAAAATTTATTTACAAATGAATTATGTAATCATAATTCATCTGTTACATATTTTGAACAGGATAATAGGTGGAAGTATTGATGTTTGAATTTTGACAGCCTAACAAACCTATTTTCTTCGATTTTATGGCCATAGCAGAGTTAGCAGTTGTTGGGCCAAAAGCCTGATTCAAGCTTCAATAACAAGGCAATGGTTTTAGCGGAATTTGTCTTTTGTTACTTAAAGAAGAGAGTCCACGTGCCGCCTGCTTTCAGAATACACAGGAGCAGAGAAGCCTCCCCTCTTGTCTGTTATTATTTCGCCGCGCGTCAATAATAAATCCTCAATCTCAATCCATATCAGGGGAAAACAGTTAATGCCGTTAAACATGGACCAAGCAACAAATGGCATCTTTCACTTTCCTCTAATCACAAGAAAATCACCTCCTTTTCTCTTTTTAAGAAATCCACGTTAAATATTTTGAAAACCAAATCTCTAAAAACAATGGATCACACCTCACTCAATCTTTTTCAAAAATCAAAAAATAAAAATCACCGCCACTTCATCTTCCCTATTCATTCTCTCACTCGTTCACTCCTAAACTCTTTAAGTCCCATCTCAGTGATCGAATACTTCTCTTCTTTACTCGATTATTTTTTCTCTCTTCCAAACCAAAATGGCGTCCAAGCTTGGCGCTTGCTCACGCGCAACTCCAGGCTCCTCTCATTTCCGAAAAACCGCGAAAACTTTGTTTTCACCGCTTCGGCAATCGGTACTAACCGATAAATCAAGGAGGAGGATTATTGGAAGCTCGAGAATTAGCGTTTCTAATGATGGGGACTCGTACCTCGACATGTGGAAGAACGCCATCGATCGTGAGAAGAAGACCGTTGAGTTCCAAAAAATCACCGAAAGGTTCGATAGTGGCAATAATGCCAGTAGTGATGGTGGTCCGGGAGTGGATTTGAAGAAGAAAAGCGAGGATTTCAAGAAGATTCTTGACGTTTCTAAGGAGGAGAGGGACCGTATTCAACGAATGCAGGTTATTGATCGGGCCGCGGCAGCGATTGCGGCGGCTCGTGCTATTCTCAAGGACAAGCGTTCCGAAACAAATGAGGCAAACACCGGAGACAATTCCATTTTGGGCCGTCAAAGCGGAAGCGGAGGCGGAATCGGAAGCGGAATCGAGGGCAGTGAAGGAGGAGGAATGGAAATTAAAGGAGGATTGGAAATTGAAGGAGGTAAATTTCGTTATTAATTTATTTATACTTAAGTTGTGTGTCAGTCTTGAGAATTGAAGGATTGGGATTTTGTATGGGGTACTTTAGTTCTGGGATATCGGAACTTGTTCTTTCTAGTAGAAGCGCTCTAAGTTTTTGCATTATATGCTCTGTTATTGAAAACTAAACTTAATGCTGTCGAAGCTTAAATTTCGAGTTAACTAACAGGAGAAAGACAAAGGTATAGGAGAAGACCTCTAACGATTCAAAACTTAGAGGTAACACTGGTTGTTGTGTTTGGCTAAACTTCGGGGAAGTTTGGAAGTTAGTTGTTAGAACCTGGCAAATAGCGCCCAAGCTCTTGAATTAGTTCTTTTAGTTTTCTAACTCATCGTATGATTGATTACGATTTTCTTAATTAATATAGCAATAACAAATTTGTGGCAATAGTTATTTGCCAATATGTCATCATATGATTATTGCGTTGATAGAATTTCGTTCCCTTCTTTCATGGATGGGGGAGGGAGGCGCTGGGGCATAAATGAGTATGTGGCAGTCCATCAAATTTGTCAACACCTAGAAAACTACTTCATCTCAGTCACATTTACTGCATAAATCATTTTTATATGTGGTGCGAGTTAAAATCCTTTAGATTTTCATATCTTCTATTATGCAGGAACAAAGAATGGGAACATCTTTGTGCCTCAATCTGAGGCTTCTGGAAAGGGAGTACCTGGTCCTGATTTTTGGTCATGGACGCCCCCTGATAATGATAGGAAGCCAGAAGATCCTGCATTGCTGGAAGCTAAGAGAGCTTTGATATCTCCTATTTTGGCTAGCCCTGTGGCAATGAAAGAACGATGTCTGGATTTTCTTGACATTCCACTTGAGAGTAAACTTTCAGAGACCAGCTCCAACCCTCCTATTCCTCCTCTGCAGTCACTGATGGAGGTTAAAAAGGAAGAGGTCTCTGTATCCAGTCTCGAGACTCCATCTTTGGAAGAGGAAGAACATCAAGTAAATCTTTTATTTTCAGCACGTGCAGCAGAAGCAGCTCATGTTCTTGGAGCAGAGGAAGTGGATGAAGCATTTTCTGGAATAGACCCAGATGGAGCAAGGTGGTGGAAGGAGACAGGAATCGATCGAAGACCTGATGGTGTGATTTGCAGGTGGACAATGACTAGAGCAGTCAGTGCTAATGAAGATGTCGAGTGGCAAGAGAAGTTTTGGGAAGCTGCTGATGAGTTTGGGTATAAGGAACTTGGCTCAGAGAAATCAGGACGAGATGCAACTGGCAACGTGTGGCGTGAATATTGGAGAGAATCAATGTGGCAGGTTAGTAGGTTTGTTTTGATGAATTGCATTTATTGCATATATTGCTTTCTGCATTGTAGATCCTACAATATATGTTATTCAAATTGGGCTAGCGTATAAAAACTCATCAATTGTAGTAAATATTCCTGAATTCAAGACTCATGCAATGATTTCCAAGCTTGGTAATAGTTTATGATAAATATATGAGTGCTTTGGAGTTACCTTGAAGCCAAATTCACTCTCTGTACGCAGACTCAATAGCCTACCTCTTTACAACAACAGCTTAGCTCTTTGCTGAAAAAAAAAAAAAAATTGAACTATTCGGCTCTTAAACTTTATAGTAAGATTTTAACCATTGATTTATTTATTGGTTTGATTGGAGGAGTAAAATTGAATAAAGGGGAAGCACATTTGGGTTATCAATGAAAGGTATCTTACTTCTACGTCAAAAATACTGTCGTTGGCTTTTCTTCCACTAGTCTTCTTAATTTCCTGTTATCTTTGCCAAAGACAACTTGGTGCTAAACATTGTTATTTTGGATCTTATTCTTGTAAATATTATATTGACCTGTATACATGGCTGTCCTCTGGTTTATTCTTTTAATTTTATATTTGTAATTTAGAAAAAAGAAATTAATGATGCACGTGTATGTAGATTCTTAGTTTACATGAATTATAAGTGTATGCTTGATGCTTGCAGGAGTCTGGGCTTGTGCATCTTGAGAAAACTGCAGACAAGTGGGGTAAGAATGGAAAAGGTGATGAGTGGCAAGAGAAATGGTGGGAACATTATGATGCCTCTAATCAAGCTGAAAAATGGGCACATAAATGGTGTTCCATTGACCCAACTACAGAGCTTGAAGCTGGCCATGCTCATGTTTGGCATGAAAGGTATCAAATGTGATAAGATTGGATAAATTTGAACTCTTCTGCTATCGCCGAAAACTTGGTTATTTGATGACTGAAATATCGATTTGCATTTGGACTAACTAATAAAATATCCTTTTTGACTCAAAGTAGATTGCAAGTTTATTATTGGATTCAGACATTTTGATGCTGGAACCTGGGTGTCTAATGTATTCTAAGTTCACATTATATCAGCAATTTTGAAATGCCATACTATTATTTGGAGTCTGCATTTAAGATTATCTGAAGTAATTGGATTGAACTTTTATTATATTACTGTGTTTAAGGAGCTTAAAATGGACTACAGTTAGACTGTTTCAATTTATATGCCATATTCATTGATTTATGCAGTCTGTACGAGATACATGTGATGAGTAGGATGTAATGATGCAATCACTCTCTATGCATGCCTAAAGTGAGAAATGCTTGCTATTCTGTGCTTGTTTAAAACATAGCATTTTGACCCTATTTTTCCAGTTAATGCAACTTCTTGAAAGATTCAGCTTTAGAACTTGTATTTCTCAGTAAACCTTCACTTCTATATGTGTATGCTGATATGTTGTCTGTATATATGCTTGCTATTCTGTGCTTGTTTAAAAACATAGCATTTTGACCCCTATTTTTCCAGTTAATGCAACTTCTTGAAAGATATTCAGCTTTTTAGAACTTGTATTTCTCAGGTAAACCTTCCACTGCTATATGTGTATGCTTGAGTATGCTTGTCTGTATTATATATATATATATATATATATATATATATATATATAATATATTATATTCATTTGTTTTTTTGTTTTTTTGTTTTAGAAATTTTAATTGATATTGTATGTATGCCTATTGTAAGGTGGGCGGTTAGAGAAAGTATGATGGAACATTATATTCTTTGTTTTTTGTTTTTGTTTTTGAGAATTTTAATTGATTGTTGTATGCCTATTGTAGGTGGGGTGAGAAGTATGATGGACATGGGGGCACCGTGAAATACACGGACAAATGGGCTGAGCGATGTGAGGGTGATGGGTGGACAAAATGGGGCGACAAATGGGATGAACATTTTGATCCAAATGCCAATGGTGTCAAGCAAGGGGAAACATGGTGGGAAGGTAAGTATGGAGAGCGATGGAATCGCACTTGGGGTGAGCGCCACAACGGTTCTGGATGGGTTCACAAGTACGGGAAAAGCAGCAGTGGGGAGCACTGGGATACACATGTGGAACAAGAGACTTGGTATGAGAGATTCCCGCACTTCGGTTTCTATCACTGCTATGACAACTCACTACGGCTCCGTGAAGTTCAGAATCTTCAGATGCCATCCGATAGATATGAATCATAAATTTTGCATTTCCTTTAAGTTTTATTATCTACTAATCTTATTTTGAACTCATAGTTCCATAGGAAGCCAAAGTATCCTTTTTCTTTAATATGATGCCCTCTCATAAACTGCATCAATTTTTCATTCGTAGATATAATGCAATCCTCAGCTTGGTTTTTCAAATGTTTTTATTATAGGTTATCTAATATTATATGTGATTTCAAATTTCAAAATAATTTCGTAGACATTTTTTATTATATTCGATCTAAGGAAAATGGATTGGTAGAACAATTTCATGACGAAAACATCTTTACATGTATTTTTCGTCATGTATTCAACAATTGCAGCTCATGCATAACAATTGACCATATAAGAAAGATAAATAATCGATTAATTCTCGATAAAAACCTAAATATAAATAGGACCAATCAGGAAAGATATCAGATTATGCAATGTGGTTTTATGGCTTGTGTTAACATTGGGCATGGGTCAAGCTTGTTATGGAATTACTATTGGAGAAAGATACAATGTATACATTGTCAACAACTTGAATGAAGATGTGTTGAATGTTCATTGCAAAACTAAAGACGGTGAACTAGGTGCACAAGCATTATCACTTAAAAAGACCAATTTCACTTCACTTTTCGTGTGAATTTCTGGAGAACGACGCTGTTTTGGTCCAATTTCGATTGGAGTAATGACCATGGTGGTAGTTACCACATATTTTGGTATAAAGATGAACTTGTTCGTATTTGTGATTATAAGCAAAAGAATTGCATCTGGTCTGCAAGAAATAGTGGTATTTATCTTATGAGTATCACTAATAATCATTTTTCAAAATACTATGATTGGCAGTGGTAATATGATAATTAATGATGGAGAGGTTCTGGTGTTCATTAGTAATTTCCTTTTTATTTTATTACTCTATGCTTTTTAATTACCATTAGATTGTCCCTTAAATATTGTATCTTGATTAGGAATAATAATTTTCTGAATCCTTGCTTTTATTTTTAATTGAGAAATAAGATTAATATGCAAACGGTGAACAATTTCTAAAAGCCCAAACGGTGGAGCCCATTGTCACATGAAACAAAAACGGCGTCGTCTACGTGATTAAGAGACGTGGACAAATGGTTTGACAATAACCGCCTGCGCTTCAGTGGCCACTGGCCACTAGTTCAGTTGCCAAGGCCATCAATGTGTGTGGTGCCTCTTCAACCTATGAACTGTGAACTTTCTCTCTCCCCTTCTTTCGTTTTCTTCTGAAAGTCTCCATTTTTTTTTTTAATTGGAAATAGGAAGCCATTTTTAATTCCTGTTTACGTTTACAGTCCTTATCGACCTCCAAAACGAGGGTTCGGTAAGTAGTTTTCATGGTAGGTTAGGTTTAGTTTGTTTATAGTTTTTTATTTCCATATCATGGCTGCTTCATTGCTCTATGGAGCTGATAATTTCAAATTCATCAGTGGCACACCAACTGGGGTAGGCTTTACAGGGTCAAAATTCCATGTTAGTTGCTTCCCTAAGAAAAATTTAGTATCTTATCATAGAAATACCCAAATTTCAAGGATCTTAGCTCCTAGATGCAGTAGTTTATCATCTTCAAGGCCTGCTTCACAGCCTAGGTTCATTCAACACAAGAAAGAGGCATTTTGGTTCTATAGGTTCTTGTCTATTGTTTATGATCATGTCATAAACCCTGGTCACTGGACTGAGGATATGAGAGATGAGGCACTTGAACCGGCAGATCTTTTTAGTAGGAATTTGAAAGTGGTAGATGTTGGTGGTGGTACTGGATTTACTACTTTGGGTATTGTTAAACATGTGGATGCCAAGAATGTTACAATTCTTGATCAGTCACCTCACCAGCTTGCCAAAGCTAAGCAGAAGGAGCCCTTGAAGGAGTGCCAGATTATTGAAGGGGATGCAGAAGATCTTCCCTTCCCAACTGATTATGCAGATAGATATGTGTCTGCTGGGAGGTAATTTTTTGTAGCAATTAGGATAATGTTGTTCTTTAACTTTTATTAACAAGATGTCTTGGTAAGGATGTTCGTGGCGAGTTTGATTACTCTTGGCATGAGTATTATAAAGATGCCTTGGGAATTTTTTATTTATTTTTTGTTTCTATTCCAATTATTAAGTTCAGCTGAAGGAAATTATTCGTGCTTTTTTTTTTTTTTTTTTTGGCATGAGTATTATAAAGATAGCCTTTGGGGAATTTTTTATTTATTTTTTTGTCTTCTATTCCATATTAAGTTCAGCTGAAGGAAAATATTCGTGACTTTTTTTTCTATTTTGAATATTGATTAAAAAAAAAAAGCTATATCTTTTAGGCCCATAAGGCTTTTTTTTTTTTTTTTGTGTAATATGATTAAAAAAAAAAGCTATATCTTTTAGGGCCATAGAAATCATAAATTTTTAGGAGTTATCAGCTTTAAACATGTTATTATTTAGAAAATGACGGGATTTCAATTCCAAAGAAAACGTTTGTTGTCAATTTGATTGACAACATGACATATTTCTTTATCATCTAATACTGTAATTATGTTCCTCAGCATCGAGTACTGGCCAGATCCACAGCGTGGCATCAAGGAAGCGTACAGGGTGCTGAAAATCGGAGGAAAAGCTTGTATTATAGGTCCTGTGTACCCAACCTTTTGGCTGTCTCGCTTTTTTGCCGATATGTGGATGCTCTTCCCTAAGGAGGAAGAGTATATAGAATGGTTTCAAAAGGCTGGGTTCAAGGATGTCAAACTGAAAAGAATAGGTCCAAAATGGTACCGTGGTGTCCGTCGGCATGGCTTGATTATGGGCTGCTCTGTGACAGGGGTTAAGCCATTATCTGGAGATTCTCCCCTGCAGGTAAGATATGCTTCATCTCTTAATATCCATGCATCTATATGTGAAATGTTTCTGGGAGAAACTATTGATTTTATTGCTTAATATTTGAATTTAATTATTGTTCCATTAAATTAATCTGTCAAGTGCCAGACTCCCAATGATTGGATTCGATTGTTGAAAATGACATCATGTTAGAATGTATACTTTATTTTGATGATTGTCCAAGAAATCCTTGATATTTTTGGATTGGTTTTTACTAGATATATAGTGTCAGTTGCCTTCTTTCTATGCCATTGAAGCACTGTATTATCTGCTGGCATTAATGTTTGATAACCCACTTCAGATTTTGCAGTAAGAACTTTAATAATTCAGTTGGTGCCCCTCTTTTAGAAACTATTGCCTAACAGCTAATAAAGTCCTTTTGGGAGCTAAGTTTGTTTGGAAGTTCTGCCGGCACTGTAATTTTCCTAGGGCAACATTAGCACTCAGAAGTCTTTGAAGTTATTGAAGGTACACAGAATGGCACAACCATATGGGATGAAAAACCATAATTTGCATTAAATATTTCTGGTTTGGGATTTCAAAATGAGGAAATTTTTGGTGTTATTCTTCTCTGTGTTTTGAGAACTAAGAAAATGTGAGGTCATTTAATCTGAAGGAGAGATTGATGATGGAAATGCTATTCAGTGGGGCTAGGGGGACAAGGAGCATGGGTATGTGGGTTTTTCCTGTATCTACCATTAAAATTGCATGGTTTTGCGTTCTAATTCCATTTGATTTGCTTTTATTGGAATTTCTCTGCTCGCTTTTTGCGAATTGCAATTCAAACTACCTCAAAAATAAATATTGGGCTAACTTCACCTTTATCTGTTTTACAACGTTTGCTTTCCTCCAGTTGAAGTAAGCATAGACAAAGGAACACTGGATTATTAAGCTAAAGCTTTGTTATTTGGTGCATTGTCTTATGTTGTGTCTTTTTGTTCGATTTTAAGCAACAATTATGAATATGCTTGTGAAGCTTAAATTCCATGATTCATTTCTCTTATAAAAAATGTGAATGTGTATCTTGATGTAGCTTGGTCCTAAGTCAGAGGATGTGAAGAAGCCTGTGAATCCATTTGTGTTTCTACTGCGCTTCCTTCTTGGGGCCATGGCGGCCACATACTATGTGTTGGTTCCCATCTACATGTGGGTCAAAGATCAAATTGTTCCAAAGGGCATGCCCATTTGAGATGAGCTGAAGAAGCAATGGGAATCATCAATCATCATTTTGCTGTTGTGTGTGAAAAAGGACTAATTGCGGATCTGGTTAGCCTGTATGTTTTGTTTTTTTTTTCTATGATATTTTATCTTTTGAAATCATTTCTATTGAAGTGGGCTTGATGGAGAATTTAACATGTAAATGGACAAACATGCCTCAATAATTTGTTCTATTTTCAATTCTACAGCCTCTGTAGTCTGTACAGTTTTTGGATGGTAAAAAAGTTGATGTCTAGCTGCGACATTTTTTCTTATCGTGTCTTTTCATTGGAAAAGCAACGTGTTGTTTTCAATTGACAAAATTCATATAAATCTGAACCTCTTTAGGGACTAGGTACTTACATAGTACAAACTCTTACTGATTGAGGAAACTGGTAGTTGCAAAGATATTAATTATTATGAGCATATACATACTATATTATATCTTCAGATTTGGATGCTACGAGCTTTGTCAGTTCACAGTATAATGCAAAGATTCAGTTATATATATAATAATTTTGTACTAAGTAAATGATTGGATTGGATGCAACCCCCTACTCTTAAGACTTTTAATCCCATTGTTAATTGTTGCTCATCAATGATCCATCCTTAGATTTTGTTTGTTTCAAACGTATACTTCCAACGAGAAACCTAGAATTTCATAATATTACATTAAACCCATCTGATTTAGTCTGTCCGGATTATGGTTTCAGGCGAATTTTATCCGGAAGGTTAGAATTTAGAGCATGGAGACACCAGCCCAAAAAAAAATAATAAATAAAAAAGTTGTAATAACCAAATGAAAAGCAACCTCAAAGACTGGCTGAAAATCTTATTTACTTTCTACGACATTTTCTTTAATTCAGATTGACTGGTCAAGAATCCCTCTAACTGCAATTTTACTTCCCTTTGGCAGATTTGTGGTCAATTTCTCCAATTCTCTGGCTCAATTTGAAGGTTCAAAGTCTTGCTTTTGGACCATGACCCTGCCTGGAAATTGGCAAACCAACATGTGACTTCTAAACCTCTTTTAAATCTGTAATACTTGTCAATGTTTGTCTGACAGAACCCAGTAACCAGCAATGCTTATACGTATTGTATTGTATTGTATTGTATTGGATACATATACATGTACATATGAAGCTTTGTCTGGGTTTGACAGTAGAGATTATGGAAGAGTATTAAAGAGAAACCGCGTGGACAGCCCAATCTTCTTGTGTTCATTTATGACTCAAGGTTGGCACTTCATTAAATGTGCGTTAATTACTTAGTATAAACTAATAATACGTTTTCTTTTATTTAATTTATTTTTTAAATGAATTTATATATTAGAATGTATATTTACAGCTTTTGCTGCTACCGGACTCATCTCTTATTACTGCTTAACTTTTATCATTATTTTTGAATCCTCTGGCTCATTTTTTGAAGAAGAATTTGCACAAACATTCTTTGTTACGACTGCAGCTAATATCTTTTTTACCCTTTTTTCCACCTGTTTTGGGGCATATTTTAGAGAGTATAGGTACACAAAAATTATTTTTCTCCTCAATTATACTCATCTTTGGCTCAATTATTTCCTGAGTCATGAAAAGAGTTATAGCAAAAAAGTCATATGTGCCTATTTGAGCTTTACAGTTACCCTTCGCCTGGAAATCAGTGAAGCGAAGTCAAAAACCGTAACAATATTGGCATTGTACTTGATTGTCTCTTTATCTATTTCTCTGTGCATTTTATACCGATATTCTTGATAACGATTCACTCCTCAGTTCTAACTTTGTTTGCATCTTGCACAGATAGAAGAGCCACCATTTGTATTAGACCCATAGCTCACATTTGCACATTTTATAATAAACGGCATATGTTGTGTGATAGATCTAAACCATAAATGCCTGATTATGTGATATGGTACCAACTGTGTCTTACTATCAAAGCCATGCATCATACTAGGTGTAGCATATCAGTCATTCATGCTTTTCTGTTCTGGGGTTCATTGATACTACTTCAACAGAGGATTAGGCTATGTGAAGATGTTATGGTTATGTATCTATTACACATTAGACTAGATAACTACTCCAAGCTATATTAGCTTAATATTAAATGGTAGGAGTTTTGCGTTCCCATTTCCGGACCACCAAAAAGTCGTCTCTCTATGTTGTGGGTAACAGGCTTATCTTTCTTATGTACCTTCAAAGCTATGATAACACTGGTAAGCTTTCTGCGATAGTACCTTTTCCTTCATAATAACATAAATAGTGACTTCGTCTAGAATTATTAACTTATTGCAAGAAATATAAAACTCAATCACTCGTCGTCGTGTCTTTTACTTGCTCTTTTAAGTATTTTTTGTGCTCTCATTTCTTATTAGATAAAGTGGTCATGAGAATTCATTCACCCAAGCAAATTGAAACTGTCAGACTAAAAGATTCCCAATTCTTTCTACATTTTCTCTGAATTTCACCTTCCATAAAATCACAATCATCCTTCTCTGGTCCATATATGATTTGCCCAGTAATTCAGTCAAGATAAGAAACTACTCATGTGATACAGAATGTGTTAATAGTTAAAATACATTATAATCCAAGATAAGAGTGTAAATATATAGTTAATTATAAGCATCTTAATGTATTTTTGTTGATGGATCCGCAGTTTAAACGGGAATTGATATTTACATGTATGGTACTTAACTCGAATGTAAAACTATCGAGATAAGGATAAACACAAAATAATATAAACTAATATACTGAGCTTACTGACATGTGTCTAGTATTATTTCTTTAAATTATTATAAGAGTTGAAGCGGAGGATTGTGTGTGAGATCTAACAGTGGATAATGATAAATTACTAGTTGCTTCCATCTAATGAAATATTGAATGCTCATCAGACTTATTAGTGTGCAAACTCTTTTAGCAATAGCATTCTTAAGCGTACCTAATCATTCGCTCTATAGTTGAGTGCATAGAGCCCCTGATCTTAACTCCCCTCTTATTCCCATATCTGAGCGCGCCTCGGTAATATGATTACCGTATGTATACAATAAACTTCATAAGGAGTTCACGTATTTATCTACTGAGCGAAGTCAATTCCACATAAAACCTCAAAAAACCCATTTTATATGATGATAGATTAATTATCTTCATTATATGTAACAAATAAATAATATACATTAACATTATTGTAAAGAAGTTACAAAAGATAGTAGAATACAGGAGGTAAATTTTTCCGATCGAGAGCCTCCATTCTTTCTATTAAAAGGATGAGAGGCCGAATCCGCGAATTATTTACTTAATCTCAAAATTAACTGGATTTAATACATATATGATTAAACTATGAAAATTAGTTTTGTAGGGTGGAGAAAAGTAAACAAAATACTCTCCCAACTAAACAATAAACATCGCGGTGGCAAAGAGATTCCCAAGAAGACGGCGAGGACGGTAGAACATCATCTCTGTTGGAATAGACTTTTTAAGAGTGACGTCGTGGAATCGAGAAAAATCAAAAATAAAAAAAATCCCCAGAAGGAAAAAAAAAAACAATACCAAGGAATGGATGTGGAGGAACCACACCTCCCCAGTAGAAAACACCACTGCGATACACGGTTTTCCAAAAAAAAAAAAAAAAAAAAAAAAATGTACACACCTCCCCATAACCTCTCCGTCTACTCTTTGTCTCCTAAACATCAAACCCTTACAGCTGTCCTTAATTTTCCATCTATTAATATTAATTCACATACTTTTTTTTTAATTTTTATAAATCCACACCAGAATATACTTAATTTCAAATAGACTTCAATTATAATATTTTAATTATATTACATATTACAGCATTTAATGATAGCTCAATCTAATGAATGCAAACAAACCCTTCGAATCAAATCATCAATAATAAACTGCGTTTTGATTCAAAGAATAGTATTTGTCTATTTATTGAGAAAAAAAATAATAAAATTGTAATAATTTTTTTTATTGATTTATGTATGTGGACAAGTAATTTCCCAAAGGTAGAAATTATGTATAAATAAAGTTGATTATAAAGAAATCAAATCAAAACCTAATAAATTTGAGGCCTCTAACTTCTCATCACTTCTAATCTAAGTATCATATCCTTCGGACCAACCATAAAATTAATGTATATATTTTATATGCATTTGCAGTGTAAAATGTGAAAGATGGAAAGGTCATGGTCAGAGAGAGACATAAAGGCCTTTTGATTCTTTCTTCTCATCTGATAAAGCCAGTAATAATACCGTAATACCAATCTAGTCATAAGCTCGATTTGACTCTTAAAACTTTATTAATATTTATTTTTTTTAAAGAATAAAATAAAATTGCAGTACACTTACCCTCATTGAAATTCTACATAAACCCAGCTAAGCTCTAGCTATACTCGACATATTCTTGCTCTTCTCCCTTATCTCTCTGTCTCAAGAGCTCTCTCTAGTACCGTTTCACTTTCTCTCTCTATCTTTCTCAAGAAGTGATTTTGAATATTCAACTGAATAAAAAAGAAATGGCAGAAGTACTAACTGAGGAACAGATTGTTGAGTTCAAAGAAGCTTTCTGTTTGTTCGACAAGGATGGAGATGGTCAGTTTCATTTTCTTGATTACTGTTAATGTTCTTTTATATAATTATCTGTTATTTCCTTAACTAATTAACTAATGCGTTTTAATTCTGTAACAGGTTGCATTACTGTAGAGGAATTGGCTACTGTGATTAGGTCTTTGGATCAAAACCCAACAGAAGAAGAACTTCAGGATATGATCAGTGAGGTCGATGCTGATGGTAATGGAACCATTGAATTTGCAGAATTCTTGAATTTGATGGCCAAGAAAATGAAGGTATATCAATACTTTTTTCGACGATTATTATTATTACATTTATTCATATAATTAATCACTCCTGTTTGATTCTATTTTATTTATATTATTATTATAAATCAGGAAACTGATGCAGAGGAAGAACTTAAGGAGGCGTTTAAAGTGTTTGACAAGGATCAGAATGGATATATATCAGCCAACGAGGTAAAATTAATTTCTTTTTTCTTGATTTTTGTTTTAATCCTATAATTAATTTCCTTTTTTTTTTTTTCTTTCTGAAGCTATTATAGTTGATATAAATGTTAATATAATTATTAGAGAAAAGTCTAAAATGCCAGATAAAAGTGGAATTTGTTTGTTTGTAATGTATATGTCCGTGAACAAAACCAGTGGCTAAGCATGAAAACGACTTTTAAAATTAATAAATTACCAACGTGTAAATTTTAATTGTAAAGTTCGAGATTTGAAAACTGAAATTATTATAATTAAAAGAATTTTGTTTAAATATTATTTTTGTCCAAACATAAAAACATGAAATCTTAAAAAAAAAAAAAAAAGGGAAAATATTATAATTAAAAAAGAATTTGTTTAAAATATTATTTTTGTCCAAACATAAAACATGAATCTTAAAAAAAAAAAAAAAAAGGTGGAAAAAAATAAACAATTTAGAACTTCAAAAGCTAGGTGTTTTTATAGGTGACAACTGTGATTTTCGTTTTTCTCGAGGGTTAGCGTTGACAAAAATAAAGAATATTTTAAATTGAATTGTATAAAGTAGATGACGAATGTTGACGAAAATCCAGTTCTTCAATACAGAGAAAATCAAATAAAAAATTTTATTGGATTAAATTTTAATATTGAGAATATTCATCCGCCTGATAAGAATAAAATCTGAATCTTCTCTTCTAACAATTTCTAATCTAGAAAAACAAAGAGAGAAATAACTAAAATGATTATTCATATGAAATACTTATATATATTAGAAAATAATAAAATTATAAAACGAAAATAAAGCTGGTATTTACTAAATAAATTTTTATGCAAATTAATAATAAATAAATAAATAATAGTACCAGTGTACTGTCAAATGTTTCTCCTCGTTTAACATTATTTTTACCAGAGAAATAACTGTCGATCCCGGGATGCAATGAACATAACCTTTTTTTTTTTTTTTTTTTTTTTTTTTTTTTTTGATAAGAATCTGTTAAACTGATGGTTAAGCATTTGATTATTATGTAATTAGCAAAGAGAATCTATATAAATTATATGATGATATTGACTAGATTGTGCATGCAGTTGAGGCACGCATGATCAATTTAGGCGAGAAAAGTTAATGATTGAAGATGTAAGAGCAGAGATTAAGGAAGCATTTAGATGGAGATGGTCAGTTAATTATGATGAATTTGTTTAAAATGATAGATGACTGCGGTTTAAATTTTATGAATATTCTTTAATATTCTACTCCAAAAAATAATTAAGTGTGTAATTTGTTTATCTTTCAATTTGTTGTTTTGGTATTAATAATTAAAATTAATTAATTAATTAGTGTTGCTAATTAATTTTTCAAAGCCACAAAAAGTAGAATGACTTTGGCAAAATCACCATTTGATTGTCTAATTATCATGTAATTTCTTAATTCCTAATCTAGAGTTTTATTACCATGTTCTGAATTTTTTTATCCAGTGTTTTATCGAATTTTATTTTTGGTGAAAATACATTTTAAACTCTTGATAATTATCTTATTATTTGACGATTTAAACCTCTAAATTTTATTTATCGATGTTGAACTCTTCTATTTTAATTTTTATTAAAATTAAACAATTATTTAACTAAAGCATAAAGAATTAAAGTTAACTAACAAATAGAAAATGGATCAATAACAAGTGGTACAAGAATCTCAAATCTTATTTGAAGATCCAAAAAATATAAGTAAATAAAAAACAATATAAAAGTCCTCATTCTCAATCTTAAAAAAAAAAAAAACTTAATCTTCATTACCGTTAATTTTCCTTAAGTTGAAAGAGTTTAATGGATAAAATTCGATGAGTCATGGGCTAAAAATGCATTTTTTTTATTATTAATATATTTTTACAAAAGTATTTTTTTATATTTTTTAGATATAAATCTAATTTCATTTTAGAGTTTGTTTGAAAAGGTGTTTTTCTAAAGAATTTGAAATTCCTAATTTTACAGAATTATTCACTAAATATTCAAATAGATGGAAGAAAAGAGGATACTTGTTTGTAATATATTTTTGAGAAAAAAATGTAGATGTGTTATAATATATGATGTTGAAATTTTCTCCAACTTTTAGTTCTAAAATTGGACTTGAACCAAAAGAGACAAAAACTATTTTCTAATTTTTTCTCTCCCTCCTTTTGAAAAATTCATATATAGGAATTGTCTCTTTCCCAAATTATCTCAATGTTACCCATCCATCTATTTCCTATATATTGAACCACCGAACCCATATTTTATTTATATATTGTATATAGTTATTCCTCAAAAGAAAAACCCAAATTCAAGTCCTCTTTAATTAGCTTTTCAACGGTAACACATATCTTTATCATACTTAAGGCCAAAGTATTTCACACTTCAATTTCCATGACTGTAATAAAAAGTTAGATATGCCAACATGTGGAAGAATAATTGACAGTTCAAAAATTCCGCGTTAATCTAATAGTTCTTTAAGAAAATTTTGTTTTTAAAATTTTTTTTTTTTTTTTTTTGTATACTTACAAAGTATTCCGAATTTTATAAATATTTCTAAGTTTCATAAGTCAAATTATCTATTTTTTTAACTTAATTAAATGATGGTCGCGGTTGGTTTATTTAGTTATCATTAACTTAGTGAATATAGTCAAGAGGAGCATACTGAATCTCCTGCTGTATAGTGCCTATAATGTTATTTTCGATTCATTGAACTCCTATGTATCAAAGAAAAATAATTCATTTTTTAGCATTTCTTATTCTACCTATAGTGCTCTCTTTGGAAATTTGGATAAATTATCAGTAAAAAATTAGTAACTTCATTTAGTAAAATTTTATGTGTTAATTTAGTCCAATTTAAGCATTCAACCTTCTACAGAAGATATAACAATGATTTTTCTTTTCCCATCTAACATTGGAGTACAATCGAGACAAGGTTTTTTTTTTTTTTTTTTTTCTCAATATATTAAATAAGAGGTTCATAAATAAATAAATAATACTAAAAAATACATCAACATTATTTAAAAAACAAATAAAACAAAAATTATATACGGTTTGCCCCCAAACCGCGTGGGATAATAAATAGTAATATCCAAATAGCGAGTGAAGAAAATGTAGCTTTGAGTTTAGAAATGGAAAAATGTATATATGGAAGATTTGGTCTCTCTAATATGTTGTGTGAAAAGACAAGAAAGTGTGGGTTTCTGTTCAGAAAATTTTTTGACTAACTCTACGCAAACCAAATCGACCTTTACTTGTTCACACTGCTGCTGCCCAAAGTTGGACTTTTGACTCTCTCTTATTCTTATAGTGTTTAATTTTATCCTATTTTTATTCTGCATATCTAAATTTAATATAAGCCCCGTTTAGTTAGTATAAGAGATCTTTCTTACAGGTTATGACTTTTTTTTTTAGATCAGGCTTAATTTTAAGATGCATTTTTTTTTTTTTTTAAGAAAGCAAACAGAAGAAAATTTGGCATTAAGACTCAAAAGGGGTAAAAACGTTGTGGAATCGATTTCCACCCTTGGAGACGGGCATACATAGAATGAGCTCCCATAATAACTCTATCTACGGATTCATCTTAATGCCACATTTAGCCTATAAAACTAATAATACCTTCTAATCTGCAATATCAAACCAAACTCGACAAGTCATAAGTTACTAAGAATCAAAAGCAAAAAATAGCCTGAAATGTCCTAAGTACAAGAAACCCACCCAATTATCCAGTTAAATATTTCCATATGTATTGAAGTTTTTTTTTTTTTTTTTTAAAAAAGAAAAGGTTGCAAAATGTACGATAAAGTGGAAATCTAAATTGTAGATGGATAGTATAAAACCAAAGACTAAATCGAAAGGTGGGGCTCAGGGACTCATGAAGGGTAATCTTTGTCTCTATGTTGGAAAAGTAAGGGGCCTAAAATGAAACTATCTAAAATTTTATGGTATTTAAAATTAAAAACAAAGTTGTGGGCCAAAGGCCACTATCTATTACCTGGGTCCGGCATCCTTGAACTTTAAGGGTTTTGGCCGCAAATAAAGGCTTGGATGTCTAATGTTGTATGTAATTGAATTGTTTCAATGGGCCCGATCCTAACTTCACAATGTTAAGTTAATGCAAAAGATTAATTTATCAGTAAAACCAAGAAATTCTTGAAATTATAAAGGCAACATTTTAATATTAATGGAATGGAAAATAAAATAATAATACAATCAATGGGGAGGCAGCTAAAGCTGCCTATTTTTACAGTAATGCTCTCCAAACGCTGTCAAATTTCTCTCCAACAACTCCGGCTCAATGAAAGTTACATCAAGAGATTCAACTAAGAACTTGAATCAAAATTACAGTTGGCAGGGCCTGTGCAAGTTTTAGAACAGTTTTATAGACAGAAAAGAAACAAACAATGTAATCAGAGTTATAGAAGGAAAATTATACTCACACCTTCTGGTTTTTGTCCTCAGATGTGCTAAACCAATCACAATACTCTAGATTTATCAAAACTCCACTTCTTGAAAAACTTGAATTAGAATTCAGAAGGAGAAGCCAAACCCCGAAACAAAATGAGCAATGTAAATGGAGACTGTAAGAATTGGTAAACTTCTTAATAACGTGTTTAATTAATCACAGTGTTTGGTGCACACATGCAGTTGGTGAAAAGCAGATGACCTGCGCTTGGCTTATGTTTTACTTTTTGCAGCGTTGTGTGTGATGTTCCCTTGTTACAGTAATGAATTTCCATTGTTCTTTGGTTCCTGTTCTTTGGCAGAAGATTTTCTTATCTTCTTCCTTTGGTATAAAACCACAAGATGAGAAGGCTCTTCAATCTCCTTTCAGAAACCAAGAAAATGGTGTTCTTGCTTTCAGAATCATTCTTTCGAATGAGTAAATTCACTTTCTCTTCCGCTGGCATTTCTTGACACTTATTCTGATCCTTGACGTATTGAACTTTGTAGAAGTGGGTCTGAAGACTTCCATCATAACTTTGGTTTTGAATTTGATAAACCTTCGATAGGATTCTTATCCTGACAAAGCAAGTGGAGTCATATCTGATTCTTCACTTCTACTTCTATTCTGAGTTAAGATTGAAGCTTGGAGATTTCCGCATCTCTGCATTCATGAGTTCAATCCATCAGGATTGATTCAGTGCTGAATCCTCCCTACAGTTTCTTGCAGCCATGACTTCCCTTGCAGAAGAGAGTAGTTTTCAGCTTTTTCAATTTCTTTCAGTTTGGCTGATTCTCTTGACTGCTGTTACTGGCAGTGTGGAGATTGCTTCTTGCTGAGTGCAGAGACAATGTTCTGTTATAGTGAAGTTGAAATTTTGCGATTCAGGCTTGAATCAAGGTTTGAGGAATTGTTCAATGTCATTTATTACTATACAGGGGATTCAACATTTTCAGGTTGCTCCTAAGAATGATTAGCGAAGATTAGTTAAAGATTGGTTTTGGGTCTCATTGTAAAACTTCTTCCACAGGTTTTTTCAAAGTTCTAACTCAACTGCAGAAAGCAAAGGTCTCTACAAGAAAGAGCTGGAGGCATGGAAAACAGAAGCTGTTGTAGTAAAGGAACTCCCACGTGTTGGCCAAACTTGCGAACCTCTTCAGG